CCTGCATGTGGGTAGAAGTGCATTTGCTTATTTGTGAAGTTTGCTGGTCCTAGATGTGAACTCACTGCCAACTTCAACCTTTGTAAGTAGAAGAGATAGAGGAAGAATAAAATATTTGACATAGGTGCGTTAATGTTTATCTGTTAGAGAAAGTAGAGTATTACTGTATCAAAATTGAGTTGCTTTTCTTGAATTTACAACAATGGATTTTCTAATACCTAGTTGACACGTGCTCGTTTCTATTTATCTTTTGTTGGAATGCCGTGGCTTCGTGTGCTTAGGGTTTTGAGCCTAAACTCACGTTTCTGCTTTAGGCCCCTTCCAATGCTCCACCTTGTACAGGTGCTAAGCCTTCCACGTAGGCAAAAAAAATCTGATGTGGCATGTTATTTAAGAGGAGAGAGATGAGTGTGGTGACCCTAGGAAGAAACAATGCTAAGCACGTGAACCTAGGCAAAACATTTAAAGGAAGGAAGCCCACCAATACATGAAGAGCTTTAGTTGCTAAATCATTAAATGAAGCAAGCTTAGCAACCATAAGCTAAGCACCTATGCATTGGGGAGTATAGTTGCTAAGCTATTTAATGTGTTTAGCACCTCATCTAAGCACCCATGCATTGGCAGCAGCCTTATTGATCGCTGGTATTGGTTATAGAGTAGGGCTCCCATTAAATGCGAAAGCTTCAGATGTATCATATGGATATGGTGCAGTAACAATCTTATATTCTTGATATGGAAATCAGGGGGACTGACTTGAGGATCAAGCCTTGAGCTCTTTCACCTTATCCTTGTGGCGGCGATGTTCTCTGCCCACATGACACGTTGTTTGACTTTTTATGTTTGTAGGAACACGTGTTGATGTTGGACACGGTGGGGCTGAGCTTTTGGTTGATATGTAAGATGATTGTCTGGTTGGACATGCTATTTGACCTGTTGGTTGAGCAATTAAGCTTATCTCCAACTGATGTTCTACCTCCTCTACTGGATATGCTCCTTTGATTCCCTCCCTTCCGTCCAGCTTCCTTGCTTTCAGTTTACCTACTCCTTAGTACTCCCAAGTTTATTTTGGTAATGTGGGTTCTTCTCCCTCTAGCCCCTCCGATGACTAATGGCTTAGGGCCTTCCTCTTTCTATATTGTGCTTATGTTTGTGCCTGCTTGGAAATGAGAATGTTGTCATATTAAGTAGTAGCAAATGAAGCACTAACCCTTATTGTGCTTTAGGGTTATATTTTTGTTTTTGTTTTACTTGTTGTGGCTACCTTCTACATTTTTTTCCTGTGGTTACGGGTCTATCAAGTCCTAGTGTGATTTGCATGTTGTCCTGTCTGCACAAGTAAATAAGTGATAGTGAACAATACCCGCATATCTGGTTTCAGATTTCCTTTATTTATATGGTCGTATAGGTATGCCATTTTACATTGCTGCTTATTTTGGGTCATTGTGATACCTAGTGAACTAATGATTGTTCATTGCTGGAAGGCGGTTACTGTAGGTGGTTTTGTTAAATCTTATACTGCTAATCATCGCTTTACTTCGAGTTATTGTAGTAGCATAGTTTTGGGCAATTTTCATAGTTTCAGGCGGTTTTATTAAACATTTTCTCAGCACGTCACTCATTGTCCGCTAAACTTGCATATATTTGTAATTGACCACTAGCCACTTAAATAATTTGGTCAGTCCGACATACATTGGCCGTGCTTTATCTGGAGTTAAGTTCTTCAATTTTGGCCATCATGGATGTTTAATAGCACTTCATAATCATGACTAGATTCGTCACATAAAACTGCTTCATCCCTAATAAGATCTTTTTAGTTTCACTAGCATAATCTTTGGTGTAGTGTTGAAATTATTGCTTGATGCTCTGAAGAGTACAAAGAAAATGGCAGTCATTTTGGATCTAAGGAAATTTCAGTTAATAAGACGAGACGCATGATCCCTTGCTCCGATTTGTTAGTGTCTAGCTGGGTCTTGCATTTCTAAAAAGTATGCCTTTAGCTAGAAACCTGCCCCTTCTTTTCTACTCCCTCTGTAAACTAATATAAGAGCGTTTAGATCACTAAAATAGTGATCTAAACGCTCTTATATTAGTTTACGGAGGGAGTACTCCATAAGACCATGAGCCTCTCATATGCCCATTGTTCTTTTAGCTTCTACTTAGATCAAATGTAGCAAAAAACTGCTTAATTTGAGGTCGAATGTGTGATACTACGCTACAAATTACGTAGTGTTTTCTTTTTCTTATGTTGTTTCTTCCTAATAACTCTGAGATGATTTAACTTCCACAATGGTGAAGCTAATGTTTTTCATTCGAGTCATACAGAAGTCATGGGAATAATTCCCAATGGATTCTCCTGAATGACTAGTAGAAAATTGTTTGGCTGATGGTATTGCTTGCTCCACAGGCCTCTTTACATTATTCTGGCGACTGAAATGCAGAAAGGGCTTGTCTGGTGTAGGACTGTAGGTATTTGCATTTTGTGTGTTCAACCAAGGAGATTGACCATCTATGTAGCATATGCGCTGATCAGCTGTGAAATGGACTTGTAAGAATTAATCTCTTAATTTGGTAACTCCTGTCTATTATCTGATTCTTGTGGACATTCGTCAACCGGCATGAATGGTGAAAGGTACATTGACTTGCTTCGGTTAATGAGTACTTGACTTGTGTTTCATTCAATTTGTTCTGCTTTATTTTTCACGCAAGCATGTTGTGGCAGGCTCCCTTGCGAATTGATCTTGCTTGCATTTTGTTAGAATAAATCCGAGGCGCTCCATCGATGTACCAAGGATCAAGCAATCACACGAGCACGACACCGAGATTTGTTAACGAGGTTCACCGATATGGCTACATTCCTGGGGCTTGACTACGGACGCTCCTCCCCGTGACACCGTCACAATACCGCACACCGGCCACCCGGGCGCCGGCACACGCCGCCGGATTCCCCTTGCGTGCCTGTGCTATTATGTTGGCATAGATTACATCGTGTGTCTACCTCCACTATATATGAGAGGCCTAGGATACAAGTGTTCTATTAGGACACAACTCTTACCCTGTCTACACACAGTCCAAATCAAGTCCAACTGTAACCTACCTTGTACAATAATATTCGACATAATTCTAACAAACTCCACCTTGGCGAATATTCTCCACCACCTTGAATTCGTCCGTGCGTCGAACCTCCATGTACATTGGACTTGAGATACACCATGAGCACCGCTGCTACTCCCAGACTCCATGTGACTCCACCTGCAACTGTAGTCCCTTCTCGTCTTCATCACAGTCAACACTCGAGCAAAAATTAAGTTCCTCGTTACTCTACTTTGTGCTCCCAACTTCCGGAGTATCCGCTCAACGTCATCACACACTGATCATTAATCTGCGTGAAAATGAACAACTCACATATTGGGTGTCACATATAAGAGTTACCTGAACACAACATCACCGCTCTTTCATGACCGTTTGTTTGAAACTTGAAGGAATTTCACCGTCGCCCTGTGTCACTTTGAGTCAAATTCACAATTGTCTCACCCTTTTCCCCGGATAGTCTCTGACATGTCCCACAGCTATAGCACTCCACCTCCTTCTATACTTGTCACCCGCACTTTGCCATGTGCACCGAACACCACAGAATATACGGCCATGTACTCTCTCCGCTTTTGACAATTTCAGACTTTCCGTCACTTTCACAGATTCTCCATGGTCAACTCCTGTCCATCTTCCGGCACCGATAGACCCAGTCACCAACTTGAATCTGGTACTCGTCAACACTGCTTCAGCACCCCTGCACAATTTGTCTGACCACATGTCTGACCACCAGTGCCTTGGCCTGTCGCTGTGTCCCGTGCTTACCGCACGCCTCGCCGTTATCACCGCGTCGAGCCTCTGCTGTCCTGGTCGAGTCTCCCGGGTAGCTAGCCCACACTGCCTCAACACCCACTACAGAGAACCACCGATCATCACTGACCGATGCCGAGTATCACATCTCCATCAGACCATTGGCCCCCAGTCCGATCCACGTGTCTCTCGCTATCCCACTGAAATAGGCTTCGATTCTCCGATATCTTACACCGTAGCCCCTCCATCAGCACAGAGTGAAGTCTTCCGTTAGACTCCAGCTCCACCTTCAACATGACTCCATGTAGCTAGCCGTGCTACCCCGCGCCCTGCCGACTTCAAGATCTCATGTGTACACTGCCTTGAATCAACCCTGCGCCTTAGTCTTGTCGAAGCCGCACAAGCCCTCAAGCCTGCACCACGTGTTTCCACGCCCCAGAAGTCGATCACTATCAGCATCACGCTCCTATGTCGTAGTCGCTGAAATCACCGTCGTCTTCTGCTTTGACCGACATCCATGTCAGTCCATCAGACTGTCCAGTCCGACCCAGCCGAAATAATCCGACTGCAACCATGCTCTACCCTGCATCGTGTCCGCCCACACTCCGTGCCTTGCTTGACGCCCTGTAGAACATGATCCTCTTTGTGCAACACATTCCAGGCTTCCAAATCATCTTTGACGAATTCCCATCCATCACACAATACTTCCATCTGAACTTGCTTAAATTCCTGCAATGACCTCAAGCATCCTTGTTGCACCAATAAATCTCGCATCCTTATCTACCATACCCTGAAGCTTTCGGTCCCGACGAACTTCTGCGCTTCAAACCTAGTACCCTATTGGTTCTACGGTCATTGTATGCCCGACCCATGAAAGATAACCAAGTTGCAGTAACTCCCGTGATGCCTTTGATCAACAATGCTCCATGTACTGCTCCACTTCAAGCACAACTCCCGATGCTTTTTTTTATATTGCTACCATAGCCTATGCTACTTCCGATGGGTTCTCCCTTTGATGAATTTTTGTTTCGCTGACTGATTTGCCTCTTGCCTGAACGCACCACACCACGACAGGTCTGCACCTGACGTTTCTTTTTTCTTCAAAAGCAAATCTCCAAGAGTCACGTAATCACGATCCCTTCTGGCCTCTGCCCGCGACGCACTGGGTCAGGCCTAGATATCTGTAGACTGCAGCCGGCCGTTGGGCCACACGGGCCTCCGCCTGAGCGCCTTGCACTTGCGCCTCTGTCGTGAGCCGCCCCGCTCGCTCAGCGGTCGCACGCGCCTAGACGCGTAGCACCCTGCCGTGTAGCGCCTTCCTGCCGAACTCCGCACCGTCGCCGCCGCCAGATCCGATCTCGTCGAGACACTTCGCTCCTGCCGCTGCCTGCTGATCCGATTGCTTTCATGAACTCGTGGACTTATCTCGATGGCTCGATCTTCAGTGTTGACCAGCCGATCCATGTCGAACTTTTCTGCTCTAAATCAACAACCGCAACCTCAAATTAAACCTTGCTCATGGTACCACTTGTTAGAATAAATCCGAGGCGCTCCGTCGATGTACCGAGGACCAAGCAATCACACGAGCACGACACCGAGATTTGTTAACGAGATTCACCGATATGGTTACATCCCTGGGGCTTTACTACGGGCGCTCCTCCCCGTGACACCGTCACAATACCGCACACCGGCCACCCGGGCGCCGGCACACGCCGCCGGCTTCTCCTTGCGTGCCTGTGCTATTATGTTGGCATAGATTACATCGTGTGTCTACCTCCACTATATATGAGAGGCCTAGGATACAAGTGTCCTATTAGGACACAACTCCTACCCTGTCTACACACAGTCCAAATCAAGTCCAACTGTAACCCACCTTGTACAATAATATTTGACATAATTCTAACAAATTTCAGTGTGTACGCATGCATGCAAGCGTTTGGTTATCTTACATGCTCCCTCCGTTCCAAAATAGATGACCCAACTTTATACTTAGTACAAAGTTGAGTTATCTATTTTGGAACAGAAGGAGTATATAGTATCAGGCAGGTGGATGTTCTACCTCCGATATCTGCTCATGTTCCATGATGTCCCATTCTGTGTGTTTTTGTTTAATTTCTACTCCCTCGTTTCTAAATATTTGTCTTTTTAGAGACTTTAAATGGACTATCACATACGGATGTATATAGACATATTTTAGAGTGTAGATTCACTCATTTTGCTTCGTATGTAGTTACTTGTTGAAATCTCTAGAAAGACAAATATTTAGGAACGAAGGGAGTATCTAGTTTGAAGTTGAGCATTTATAATCTTAGTTCTGGCTAATGAATGTTTGGAGAAGCTCATGTTCGTTGAATTCCACCTGCTTATCTGGCACCACTAGTATTTGCTAACGCATAAAGAGGTCAATCGGTGCTACTTGGCTCTCGTTGAGATGCTGCGGAGGCTAGGATGAATTTTTAAATTTTGGGTTTTTATGAGTTTAGTCATAAAATGTCTGTTTGCTGTGATCAGGACAGGGATAGGTAAATCAAAGCCAGAGCAATATTTGCATTTACGTCCTTAGAGATTCCATTGTACCATTGTAGTACCATTGTAGTAATATATACTTCCTCGGTTCCCTAATATAAGTCCTTAGAGATTCCACTATAGAGACTATATTCGGATGTATATAGACGCCTTTTATAGTATAGATTCACTCATTTTGCTCCATATGTAGTCTAACAAAATTTCTAAAATGACTTATATTTAGGAATGAAGGGAGTATGTTTTTACTGCATATCAGAAAGCCTATTATGTGATAAGCCTTTGTTACTTCATTACCATCAAGTAACAGTTATGTCTGGTTTTACCGAACACCAAAGCTAGGTGGTTCATCACTAGTAGAAAACAGGGCTTTGGTCCAAGCCGGGTCAGCCCATTAGTCCCGGTTCAGTCCAGAACCGGGACCAATGTGGGCATAGGTCCCGGTTCATGAGCCCAGGGGGCCGGCCGGGCCACGTGGGCTATTGGTCCCGGTTCATCTGGACCTTTTGGTCCTGGTTGGTGGGATGAACCGGGATCAATAGGCCTCGCTCCTGGCCCACCACCATTGGTCTCGGTTGGTGGCTTGAACCGGGACCAAAGGCTCCCCTTTAGTCCCGGCTCATGTCACCAATCGGGACCAATGAGGTGCCTATATATACCCCTCGCTCGCGAGTAGAGCACCCCAGTGCTCTGTTTTTCTCTGGCCGAGGGGGAGAGGGCTTTGTGGTGCTCTAGCTCACCTCCTATGCACATGTGTTCGATGAAATGCCCGAGCCACACTACTTAAGCTTTCTCCTCTCGAAGCTCGACCTCCAAGCTCCATTTTCCTCGAGATTTGTCTAGATTTAGCGGTCCGTCACGCCCCGTCCCCGTCTTCACCGCCGTCGATCACCCGCGCCGATCTCATCACCGACACCACCGTGGTGAGCCTCTTGTTCTTATCTTCTTTCTGAAAGGAAAAATATTCTTACTTGTATGTTTAGATAGATACTTGTATCATTTTCTTACTTTTATTATTGCATCTTATATAGTGTGATGGTTTTGGTATCCGCCCCCGTCGGCCCTCGTCCT